GAAGAAGGCCAAGTAGTTAGTCAGGCGTCTGACATCAGATGCACTTATCAACCATTACTTTTCTTAGGAATTACCTGTAAGCGTTGGCGAAAAATTGTGCCAATTATTCGACGAAGTCACGGATAGATTGTCACCTATAAAAGATATTGATTCAAAAGATGAATTAGATGATAGATCTAAAATGAGGCGATCAAATTCGACGGGTAAGTCAAAAATTTTTAGCTTTGCTTTCATAACACGAACATGACCCACGATCTTAATACGATTTTCTGTGACAGATTTTTCCGATCGATATAGACCGTATGAGAAGTCCAACAGAACGCTGCATAACGGCAGGTGAGTATGTGTGCATTCTGGGTTATTTCAGTTAGTGATTGCACCGTTAGTTTTACTTCAGTTAGAACGGTCTAATTGACTAGATTTTGTTAGGGTTGGTCGCGAACGCTTGCAAAATACATCCAATAGTGGGGAAAGGTCTCGTCTAGTAAGTTCTATATCTCGAAACTATGCGTGTATGCATGATTGCGGTGCACGGCCTAATAGTATCTTTGCTTGAAATTAGTTCCGAGATATGCACACTAGGAATTATTCTCGAACTACACATAATTCTGGAACAACTCGTGATTACGTGTCGTTCTCTACTCTCCAGGTATTATGAAGTCTTTATTTCTTTCAAAGCAATAACAACTTTCTAAAAATTTAATATTATTAGGGGTATACAAATATCCCACAAAGGGCTTGGCAGGTACGGAATGCATTATGATGCGTGCATCTGATGTCAGACGCCTGACTAACTACTTGGCCTTCTTCCAATAGACTTTCGACTCTCGCTCGCCATTTTACGATCAAGTTACTAACGCGAACAGGAGGCCGTTTCATGATCGGGGAGGCAGGCGGTGACTAGCGACATCCTTTATTTATTTAATACATTTTTTCTAAGGATGTCGTGGAACGTTGGATGATGTAGATAGATTGATTGATATCGTCAATTCGAGTTTGGTATAATATCTCTGAAATTCAGTATACATATTAATTCGCCTTTTTGTAGACTAATAAATTCAGTTACTTGTATCTAATTGGAATGTGATTTACGAAATTATTTACATCATGATTATTTAATCTGGTCTGTTAAGCATGTCAGCCGTAGAAAGTGAGTTAGCAACTATTTTCTGACAAATTGCGCGAAATCGCGGCATCTAACAATCTTGAGCCATTCGCATCCAACAATATATGTCTGTAAAGTAAAAAAAAGTTTTTCACAAGTTCAAACAAAACTGATCCTGATTTACCAAACGACGGTTTTGATTACTACCAATTGTAAATACTTTATTTAGTATGTCGTCTAGACAACAACGTTATCATAGATACACCAATGTCTATAAATCCCCACAAACATACTCACAAGGGCTCAAGGCACATGCATTGTACCTAATTACTGTAATGAATGACATGCACTGTGTTTCGATTAGCTGGGCAATAGGCAACACTTAAAATAAAATGGGTACCGTGCAAAAAAAAAATGAACTTTTTTTCGAAAGAAGATCGACAGGCGTAACTTGCCCAATTTTGATTAGATTTACACAAATAAATATGCAAATGAAAGCCTGACA